GCGTATGATTTCAGCCCAAATTGCACTCCACTCAGTTCAATTACCATTATATAACATTCTCTCTCCTTAGAGTCTTACTATTGTTACTACAGAAAAAGACAAAACATAATTTTGTAATGAGGTAAAAGGTCATTTAAATAACTGCTGCACTATTATTTTCTGTCCAGCAAATTGAATTTGAATAATTATACCTCACAGCATTTACTTTAAGTTCATGATGTTTTATCAGCTATACTGCTTGTCTTCACCGGATTTTGAGACACTTGAATGATGATACTTCACAGCTACAAATACATTGTACAAATAATACTGCATACTCATTCAGCCTCACTACCTGATGAAAATTGGCAAGAGAGAAGTTTTAATGTCACAGTCTTCAATTAATAGTGACTCTACATTTTTCAACATTGTATTCCTTTGCCTTTACTCACCTTCTACTTCATCTCCCTCTGCAACAGGAGCCAATGTCCCAGTGACTTCTGGTGGAATCGGCCTTGGTGTTTGATCAAGCACAACCTCCTCATTGGCAGCCTTCTCAAATGCTTCTTGCCGTGCAATCAATTCAGCTTCCTCTTTCCGTTTCTGTTCTCTAATAAGCTCCTCTTCAGCTTCTTGTCTCTCTTTCTCAAGAGCCTTTTTTTCTTCTAGTTCCTACAAACATAATACACCAAGGAAAAAAAAACAATTTTTCATAGATCCTTATCTACAGGACCAAAAAAAATTGGGAACAAGGATCTCAAGTTTACCAGTTAACTTAAAATATCATCACATAGTTGTTCGTATTCCGTATTTGCAACCAAAGCAATGACAAACTTCTTTATACAAACACATGTCGCCAAAATATTTCTTAATTCTTCCCAAACTGAAGTCAATATTTTACACAACGTTTAAGTAATAACTTTCGCCATTTTTTTGTATTACTGAAGGGATTAAAAACGTCCTGTTTCCGTCTGAAACAACTATGACTATTTTCATAGGGTCAAAATATAACAGTAGTAGATACAGACTGTGAAACAATACATAAAACCAAATTTGCCACACATAATACCTTCTTTGCAAACTCTTCATTTTCAACGTATTTTCGTAGCCAGTGAGCTAAATATTCAATGGGATCTACTGGTCTTTTCTCCGCTATTTCAGCTAAACCAGAGGCAAGAGCTTTTCCGACGTGTTTTTTGAGATATTCAGAGTCCATTTTTGACGGCAAAAGCGAGAGAAAGTCCTTGGAACTGCTGAGTTACCGGCAGCAAAGACCTTCTTGTGTCTCTTCGAGGCTTGTAACCACGGTTACGAAGCCCGCTGTACTGATGCAATGCAGGCAATACAAACGTACTACCTCCAAACATGTGTCATGTATGTGTTAACAATGTGTACCAATACTTTTATTCGTGATTTTTAGATCTTCACTTTCAAGTGAAGACTCAACTTAAGAACAC